GCCAGCTGATGGGCGCAGGAGGTAGGCGCTGCCGCGGCCTCCCAGCCGCTTGCTTCTTCACCTGGAGCAGTTGCAAGGGCTTGCATGGTCGCCGGCGGTGGGGAGCGCGTCAGCGGCCCTTGGGGACCATGCAAGCCCTTGCAACTGCTCCAGGCGAAGAAGCAAGCGGCTGGGAGGCCGCGGCGGCACCTACCTCCTGCGCCCGTCAGCTGGCGACCCCCAGACCTGTGCCCGTCGGCCGGAACGTCAGGCAACACTTTGGCCGGTGCGGAGGGCGAAGGGAGGCTGCTGCAGCGCCGAACTCCTGCGCCCGTCAGCTGGCGACCCCCGGATCTGCGCCCGTCAGCTGGGAGGTCTGGAGACGGAGCAGGCTGGCGTGGAGGGCGATGGGGAAGCGGTGGCTCGGCGGGCGGGGTCCTGCCTGCGCGCGAATGTCAGGCCCACCCACCCCATCTGTAAAAGAAAAAGTCTTCCGTCCAAGCATAACCTTTAAGGATTTTAAGGCTCTTTGAGAGGGAGAGAGAAATAGAGGGAGAGAAAGAGGGAAAGAGAAATAGAGAGAGGGAGAGAGAGAAAGAGGAGAGGGAGAAAGGGAGAGAGAAAGAGGGAGACAGGGAGAGAGAGAGAGAGAAAGAAGGAGGGAGAGGGAGAGAGAAAGGGAGACAGGGAGAGAGAAAAAGAAGGAGTCAGGGAGAGAAAGGGAGAGAGAAAGAGAGAGGGAGGGAGAAAGAAAGAGAGAGAGGGAAAGAGAAAGGGAGAGAGAAAGAAAGAGAGGGAGAGAGAGAAAGAAGGAGAGAGATTAAATTAGTAACATGGCTGGCTGTTCAGTGAATCTGGTTTCCCCACTAACTTTGCTTGTCACAAGGTTGCAAAAGGTGATCCCATGACCCTGGAACAATGTGACCATCATAAATAAGAATCGGTTGCCAAGCATCCAAATGTAAATTACATGACCCTGGGGATGCTGCAGTGGTCATAAGTGTGAAAAATGGTCATATGTCACTTTTTCCAGTGCCGTTGTAACTTTGAACAGTCACCAAGCAAACTTGTGTAAGTTGAGGACTACCTGTACTTTATCACTTTTTTCCATTTTTTTTTTTGTCATCTAGCTTTTGACACCTTGCTGGGTGACTGGTGATACTTGAATGTTGCCATATTCTAAAAGTGGTACAATCGGTGAAAAGGTTGAAAAGCCCTGGCTTAGAAAACAAACAGCATGGCAGCTCCCATGGGTTTATTGTCTTATCCTTCCTTTCAGCTTTAGAATGAATTAGGAAAAGTTTAATCCACNGTACCTGCATGTCATAAGCATTTGAATTAAAATTACCATATTGAAATCAAATCTGATGTTTTTTAATTTTTATTTGGTGTGCGTTGGAACAGGGGTAGTCTTATACAGTGAGTATAGCCCAAACTCTATATTTTAACTGGAAAAGTTGGGGGTCGTCTTATACGCCCAGTCGTCTTATACGCCGGAATATACGGTATATTGGGACATTGTAAACAAACTCATGACATGGACTTTTTTTGTTGTTCCAGACAAAAGCTTAGATCCTGGTTGCTTGAATGTTGGCATAGTGCAAGGGATTGTTTTTAGTGCAAAAGTAATATTTCTTAGTGCAAGTACTAGTTTTGGAGGTCTGCATAAGTGCTCAGTCTTAGACATCTATGTTGAGAACTAGAATTTTTGAGGTGTTTGTGTGAAAGTTAGACATAAGTTATAGGGAGTTGGAAATGTTTCTATGTACAATGTTATATAATAGCAATTTTAATTCTTCATGTCACAAGCTAATACAGGATCTTGCTCTAAAAGGATTAAATGCAGATTATCTAAAAACTGCTTTTTCCTACATAAAAGAGGAATTTACAGTGAAGTACCAAGCAGTTAGTTCTAAAGTCAGAAATTATATATTTGTTGACATTATCATGTGGTTTTGTTTGTATAATTTTTGATAAAGACAAGTGTAATGTTATATATTGGCTATCATTTGACAGGTCACTGATGAATTACTGGAAAGAATTGCATCACGAAGCCAGAATATAACTGAAATCAACATTTCTGATTGTCGTAATGTGACAGATACTGGTGTATGTATGCTAGCATCTAAATGTCCCGGACTTCTAAAATATACTGCATATCGGTGTAAACAGCTGTCTGATACATCTCTATCTGCTGTTGCCTCACAATGTCCTCAGCTTCAGAAAATTCATGTTGGCAACCAAGATCGTCTTACTGATGAAGGACTTAAGCAGGTAAGTTTCTTCATACCAGTTAAGTTCCGCTGTATGTGCCTTTAGATAATTCTAAATATACTGTATTTAGAATTCAGCTGTTGATAGTTTTATATGGGACCATCTAAGTTCTGTTAAACTTTGTATATAATTAATTAATTAATTCAAAATATGCAAAATCCAACAGTTATTAGTACTTTGCATGCTACTAAAAAAATTTAATATGGCATTTTGGAAACTTTTGAAATAAGTTGTGATTTCTTGCAGGTTCTCACAGTATTTTGAACATTGGATAACATTGCCTCCTACATCATGAGGGATTACTTACTCTTTAATATATATGTACTATGAATTATATCAAGGATGCCCTGTCTTTTCCAGTCTTAGAATTTTGTATTTGTTCCAGAAGACATTCTAAAAGTAAACTTACTGAACTAGATAAGGCAGAGTGTGAGATACTGCTGTCTGTGGACAATTATTTAAGTTTGCAGACACACCATAAAATTCTATACCTAAATCTTATTTCTTTGATATGAAAGTCTGTCATTCTTCCTGGTTACACTATAAATTGGAATAGGCAGACAATGCTATTAGTAGTAATCTTCAGAGCTGTGTTCATCTCAGTTTACAAGTGCGTGGAAAACTTTTTCAATTGCTAAATTCAATTACAACCAAGGAGCAAAATCTAGACAAATAGTCTTGAATTATTCAGGTATGTGAGGTAAGTCAGATGTTTTCAAGATAAATAAATTGGGGATTAATTTATATTTTACATAATATTTCAATTTTTATAACTACTGTTTTAAAGCAAATATATAAGCAAATTAGTTTTTTTTTGGCAGAATCATTCTTCAAGATTTTATTTACATAAATTATAATTATTGAGAAAGTGAGAAATTATTTTAATTTAATTAAAATAAATGCCCAGAACCTGGTAGAGAGCCTGCATAATGGAGTGGAAAGATAAAATCATATGGCCTGGAAATTATACTTTTGTTAATGCAACCTAAAAATTGCATTTATCCTTTTTGCTGCCATATCACATCTTCATTCCTCCAATTACCAATCAGTTATAATTCCAAGATATTCACAAACATGCCAGATATTTTCCATGATATATATATGTGCCTTTGATTTTAGCAATAGCACTAACAATAGCACTTAGACTTATATACTGTCAAGTAGCGCTTTACAGCCTTCTCTGGGTGGTTTCAGCCTATTGCCCCCAACAATCTGGGTCCTCATTTTACCGACCTCGGAAGGATGGAAGGCTGAGTCAACCTTAAGCCTTGTCAGAATTGAACTCTAGGCTGTGGGCAGAATTAGCCTACAATTGCATTCTAATTACTGTGCCACCATTTTCATTCTTAAGAGCATATTTTTGTATTTGTATTTATTAAATTCAAATCAATATAAAAGCTACAAGTGATGCAAATAGCCATGGAAAGATACATGCCTGGCATCACAAGACAAGATAGAAAGACCTGCACATGGATTAGAGAACAAACAAAAGTATACAATATCATCAAGAGAGTAAAAAGATTGAAATGGAAATGGGCTGGTCACATAGCAAGAAGAAATGATGGCAGGTGGACTAAGGCAGTCATAGAATGGATTCCACTTGATAAAAAGCGTCCACAAAAGAGACATAAAACAAGATGGATCAACGACATCAGCAAGTATGGTGGGCCCAATTGGCAAAAGAAAGCTCAGGACCGTATTGGTTGGAAACATGCAGAAGAGACCTTCATCCTGCAGTGGATAGACGTTGGCTAGAATAGATCATGATGCTCTATTAAATAGCAGTTTTATTCCATTTCTTTATCTTATCATGGTTATATTGTGGGGGGAAAGGACGAAGCAGTGTTGGATATGTTTGCTGCCTTGAATTATTGGTAAAAATAATAAAGACAGGGTACAAATAAATAATGAGATAAGATTAGTTGATAATACTTGGTTTTATCCATTCCATACTGATTTTTGGTGTTTATACATCAGTTTGCAGTATAATATTTCAAGGTATTTATTTAACTCACATTGGTTGACCTGTAATTCTGCCCAAACTTGCTTTTGAAGATAGTGACATTTGTCCAGTTCTAGTCATATGCTACTTTAACACTTCACTGGTGTCCATGGTTTCTGAAAAATAACAAGAGATTTGAGCAGACCATCAGTGTTTTCCTTCCCATTATGCAAGAGGCCTTGAATGTGGAATTTAATGTTATTCACATTAAATGAATATTCTCTGACCATGTTTCTTTCAAAATCAGTCTTCAAATTGCTTTTTCATCCTGCTCTTTATAACTTCCCTGTCTTTTTAGAGAAGACAGTAACAAGATACAAGTTGAATAACTTTTACTTTGTTTTGTGATCTGCTATTATTTTACCAGTGTAAAATGGGAATTATTTTGAGTGAATTGAATAAAATGACTCTTGGTTTGAAAACAAAATTTACATTTCAAATTTCCCTTTTCCTAAAAGCACCCAAAGTAATGCATCTTATAATAGAAGTACATTTTTAAAAGTTGTCTTTTTCTGAATAGAAAATACATTTGATCTCTTCAGGGTTTGTTAAATTTAGGTTTGCAATAAGCTATATGTTATACTTCTTATATACCTTCCATATTCTCAACTTTCATTTCACTACTTCGTTGGCTTAAAGCTATTATTTAATTCTCACTTATGATACATATCTCTACTTTGTGAAAGGTAACTGCATTCAGTTCTGGATGCATCTATGAAGAGGCTTTTGAAATTTAACCTAAATCCTAAAAACATTGAAATTGTACTGGTTAAAAAGCTTACTGCTATGGACAATAATATATAGTTAGTTTTGAATGGAGTTCTATTTTGTCTGAAGGAAAGATACACAGTATTAATTTATTTCTATCTGGGGTAGTAATATTTTTGCCAGCTCCAGTTGTAAAAGAGCATTATTATTCACTTAGTAAGAAGTATTACTATTTACCTTCTACAGAGGTTAATTAAAAAAACTATAGCACTGTGAATTCTTAATGGAAGCTGAAACATCTGTATGCAACATTAGTATTATATTTATAGTTTTATATACTGATTACCAATAAGTTGGTAGAACTGATGGCTTTATCAGATGCCACGGCTTTAAATGTTGTATGAAGAACTTATTATTATTATTAAGAACTTATTATTATTATTCTTGGAAGTAACTTCGAAAACAATTTCTAAAGATCATATTAAGTGTATAGTTAATATAATAAGCCTGATTCTTTTATGATTGTAGAAAATCAGAGTCACTGTGAACTTCTGAAGCACTGCAGTGATTACTGTAATAGAAGTTAATGTTTTGAGGCCAATATGCTGCTAAAACATTATTAAAATCTCATTATCTAACCATCTAATGTGCATATGCATATAGGCAAAAACATACATGTTGCTAAATGTAATGTTTTCAGTGAAATTCTTTTTGTTGCTGGATGTTTTCCTATCCTTGTAAATTGTTTTGGTAGTTCTATGGTAATTAGTAGAATACAAATGGTTTAAAGTTTGTTGTTAATGCAGATTTTAACTTCATTTATAGTTGGGCTCAGAATGCAGAGAATTGAAAGACATTCACTTTGGGCAGTGTTACAAGATCTCAGATGAAGGAATGACCATTATAGCTAAAGGGTGCCTGAAGTTACGGAGAATATACATGCAGGAAAACAAATTAGTAAGTATTTTCTGCTATACCTTTAAATTGAAATTGTCCCTCTAAACTATACAAGGATTTATAAGTTACATTAGCCTGATTCTCAATAAATTCTTTGGCTGGAAGATTTTGAAAATATCAGTTGATTGCACCAGCAGTAATTTCTTGCAGGAAACTATCCTGGCAGTAAAGGAGTTTGTGAAATATCTCCCTTTTGAAAAATGGTCTAATAGTTTGCTGTATTCTCTTATTTTTTCACATTTCCATATTACAATGCAATAAAGTAAACTTGTAAACATGTTCAGTTATTTAGAACTTTAGGATAGCAACATGGTCATATTTAAAATTTAAAATAGAATCATGAATGTTGAATATACGCGGATGACAATGTATGTCATCATCAAAAGAAATGGACTGAAAAACTTTCATACCCTACTGAACTCTATCTTCCCAGATATACAATTCACAATAAAGAAATGAGTAGACAGTTATTGTTTTTAGATGTGCTTGTCAATAGGCAGGAAAATGGTAAGCTAGAAAACACGGTTTGTCAAACAAGGCCCCCACACTCCATGCATTCTTAGTTTCAACAGTAACCATCTGCTATCACACAAAAAGAGTTGTGTCAGAACACTATATGGCAGCGTGAGAACCTACAGCAAGCTAAACAACTAAGGACAGGCATCTATGAACAATTCAGGCAGAATTTATTACAAGATGCCTGTGCAATACGCAAGGGAAAGAAAGGAAGAAAGAAGGTATAAGACCAACTGTATGGCACACTCTGCCATACATAAAAAACATTTCAGAAGCAATAGAACGCAGCTTTTACGGTCTAATGTAATCTGCATTCTAATGTAATCTATCAGATCCCATGCATGGATTGCCCCTGTAACTATGTAGGAGGAAGCTAACCACCAGATTGCAGAAACACAAGCGAGTGATCAGATGAGGAGAGCCAAACTCATTGGTAGCCTCACATTGCAATGAACAAAGACATACATTCAGTTTCACTGCTATTAAGATTGTTGACCAAGCAGGTATAAAGATAGCCAGGGAAATTATTGAAGCCTGGGAAACGGGCCCTTGTCAATCAAAAGGAGTGCTGATTTACAACCAGCTTATCAGATACTTAGGAGCTGAGGACTTGGCAGTGCAAGGAAGCAACATGATGAAGTCAGGAAAGCTAAGGCTCAAAATCAACTAAGATTTGTGGGAAAAGTCAAAAATAACAAAAAAAAAACTTATTTCACCATGAAAAAACAAGAAAAAAAGTCAAGGAAACAATTGGTCCATTAATGGGAGAAAATGGCAAGAAGGGAGAAAGCAGAACTGATTAATTCCTTTTTTGCATCTGTCTTTACACAAAAGGGAAAAAAACAGTCCAATCTATCAAAAACAATATTGTAAAAGACATTAGGAATACAAGTCAAAATATGCAAGAAAATGTTAAGAGAACATTTATCCACTGTAGACAAATTCAAATCATCAGGACCAGATGGATTACACCCCAAAGTTCTGAAAGAACTGGTAGATGTGGTCTCGGAACCCCTGAACTATATTTTTTACAGATCCTGGAGCACTGGGAACTATCAGAGGACTGGAAAAGGACTGATGTAGTTCCCATCATCAAAAAAGGGGGGGAAAACAGGAAACACAGACCTATCAGCCTGACATCAATACCTGGAAAGATGCTGGAAAAGATAACCAAGTAACGAATCTGCAACACTTAGGGGCAAACAAAGTCATAACCAGAAGCCAACATGGGTTTGTCAAAAAACAGATCATGCCAGACAAATCTTATTGCATTTCTTTAACAAAGTGACAAAATTATTGGACCAGAGAAATGATGTGGATATAATTTACTTGGACTTTAGTAAGGCATTTGATAAAGTAGACCACCACCTACTACTTGATAAGATAGAAAAATGTGGGTTAGGTAGTATTGGCACCAGATTTATTCACAACTGGCTGACCAAATGCACTTAACATGTACTCCATTAACACCCCAATCAATTAAAAAGCTACAGATAACTAGGCACCACATAAATACTATGCATAGAATAGCCCAAAGCACACATTCTGGTAGAGAGAAGTTCCCTGAAGATGGGCTCCAGCACAAGTCCGAAAGCTCGGAAGACTAAACCTCTGGTTTTAGTGGCTGACTCAGATTAGATCCTACAGAAAAGTTAAAAACCAAGATGATGGGCAACCTGCGAGTGGTTATCTTCTCTATCCCATCAGCCACCCCCAATGTAGCTGGCCACTATTGGAGTCCCAGTCCAGGTGGCAGAGCCATGTTTTCAGGCTGTTCCTGTGGAAATGGATCTCACCAACAAAGTTCCCATTGGTCTGCCAACAAGCAGAAAAGGCTCTTTTCCTAGATCCTGCCAATTAAAATTATTTGGCAGATGGGATCCAAAATAGGCCTTTTTGGCTGGAATGAAAGGAGTGAGTTGGGCTAATCCCATCAGGATTAGATGGCTCCTCAGATACATTTTTTTGTTTTTATTTATTCTTATTTATACTTGTTAGTCACCCAGAGTCACCTTTGATAAATAGATGAAGGGATGAATGCATGCATAAATAAGTGAATGAATGAGTGAAGGATGGATGGATAGATAGACAGACAGACAGAGAAATTTGTTGCCATTTAATTGCCTTCCACTTAACCAGTTTTATTTTTCTGTGAGAATTGTTTTCTGTAAAAAGTTTAATTTAATTGAAAAACTAAACTTGGAAATTATCCAATATGAACCAGATGTGTATGTATAATATAAGTATCCATATTTCAGAATAGAAGATTTAATCAGATACTCCTTTATTTGCTTGGCATAGTATAAAAAGTATAGCTATTGTATATGAATTTTGTTTTTTGTAGTTCTCTTGCACTGAAATTATGCTTATGTTAATAGATAATAAATGAATCATGATATAAGTTGAGTGGGCAATCCATGGGACCCCTGAAGTTTTTAGCTCTAATTTTTCTGACCTTGTGGATTTCTGTGATAATGTTGTTAAAGCTGCCATTTTAAAATATAGTAAGTTTTCACCTCTATAAGACACCAAGTAAGTGTCTTTTAAGTGTTTATAACACGGGTGTCAAACTCGATCTGTCACATGACATATTGTGCTTTGCGGAGGCGGGGTGGGCATGGCCTGTGATGATGCATCTGGCCTGTGGGCCACCAGTTTGACACCCCTGGTCTCTAGGGTTTCCACTTTAACTAAAGTGCCACCAGATGCAGAAAGCCACATTTTTTGAAATTGTTAGGCCCATGTCTCTGTGTTTCTTAGGAACTGACACCTACATGTATCTCTATCTCCTCACATAACTAATCAAAATTGAAATAAATCAATATCAAAGAAGTTATACTTTATTGAAAAATAAACCTAGAAATCTTCATCTCAACTCATTTCCAACAAAGAGAAGACCAAGTGCTTGAGCTGTGAGGTTTATTCTCATGACAATATATCTTGGATTATTACATCTAAAGTAAACCATTGCGTACATTTAGTTATGTTATCTTTTCTACTTCTGATTCAAAGAAAATCACTGCCTTTCTGATTCAGTGTTTCCTACCAAGTTGACTTAAGGAATTGTAATTTTGTCCTAGGTTTGATTATTGTTTTACATATTACAGATGACTCAGTGTTTTTTTTAACCATCTTGTGAGATTGGAATGCTTTCTGGAATTGATCATTCTTCACATTGGAAGTAGTTGATGTTGCATGCTGCTTTCATATGGTATTTACTTGTTCATTTTAATGCTATGCTTATAGCATAGAAAAGTGTGGGCAATTAAAATACAATGCTTCGTGAACACATTTCATTCAGACACTTAAGCTTTCAGCTGAATATTGTCAATATCATGATCTGAGGGCAATGCAGCTTACCTAGTTGCACGGAAAGTTGCATTGGCAATGATATTACCCAGTTGTTTTGGGCTTAAAAAAAATCTGTTTCTTCAAGATCTTCCAGCTGAGTCACTGTGCAATTTAGCTTTGCAGGAGTGCTGAGTAGTCTCAGTTAATAAAAAAAATATAGATTCTCTAAATGTAGATAGTTTCTGCGGAATTGAATTTTAATTCTCTTGCCCCCAAGAGTAGCAAAAACAAGAATAATATTCATATGAAAATATAAAAAGTTTGTTTAAATAATGCACATGGCTGCCCAACTCACAAATAATGACACTGTAATGGGAAAAACGATTGTTTGTGTGATATTAATTATTCCATGATATTGATCTTTTTAGGAATAGACATTCACATTATCTATATTTTCCATTGTTTCACTACTAAGTGCTTTCTGCACTTTATTTATTGAGTACTGATTCCTTTATATTGATAGACCTAAAAGGTTGAAGTTGTCTACCTGCTCAATATCTTCATTGTCAATTCTAAGGCTAATTGCTGTAGCAATACCAGTTGTTTCGTTCTTCTGTTTGTATTCCACCTTTATATTTACTTTTACCCTCTTTATATATAATTTTAATAATAAATGCTCCTTGACACTTATTAGAGCTTGCATATCATTAGCATTTTAGCTATCAAATAGTGTAGTTGATCAGCATACCACAAGTTAATAATGTTTATTCCTCCAATTTCAAAGTCATGTTTATTTATTTGTTTAAAGCATTTATTAGGCCACCCATCTTCTAACCAACTCTGAAAGGCTCCCAGTGTTTATTGTCGTCTAATCCATCGTCTCTTGGTATATATTAAGCACATTGAACAGATAAGGAGAAGTATACAGTCTTGACTTAGTCCTTTGACAATTTGAAGTCTCTTTCATCACATTTTTTTCTATATTGTGGGCTCTTGTCCTGTGTATAGTTTAACATGATGACAATGGGGTGTTCTAGGTTTCCGTTTTCTTAAGAACATTCCTTATGGTAGAATTCTGTAATGCCAAGGTTGGCAATAATGAGGAGAATTAGTGTGGTCTAGGAAGCAGAAATGAATCCATACTGTGGGTTCTTGTCCTTTGTCTAGGTTTAACATGAAGACAATGAGGGATTTTAGGATTCTCATTTTCCTAAGGACATTTCTTAGCTTGACATGTA